CCTTCTGTATATTAACGTAAACCCTTCAATATGTTATATAGAAATAATCTTTTAAGTATATTTACTCCAATCTGCCAACACTCTCACATCATTCAAACAATCCCTCAAAACTCACCTTTTCACTCTTGCCTTCAACTCCTAATCCACTAACCCCTCACCCTTATTCCACCTAGTTTAGCACCTTTTACTTTTGTTGTTATTTTTCTTCTTTACTTGCTTGTTAAGCGCTTTGAGCACCAGGAAAAGCGCTATATAAATCAAATGTATTATTATTATTATAATTATTACCCATTTTGAACACAGCAAATAATCCAGAGGACCACAAGTGCATTGCTTGAAATGGATTTCGCTTTGGAGAGGCAAAAAAGGCACAGTTTCATCTAGTGGCCTTATTGAGAACATGCTTAACCAAGGCATCACCTGAAAGCTTATGTTCTGCTCTTTCAATCGGTTGGCTCAGTTTGTCTTTACTATGAACTGTCACAGAGATATTCAATCAGAAAGAGAATGATGGCATCTGATCCAGCCAGAATTTTTGACTTTTTTTCATTTAGGGGTTGCATTGTTTGGACCCTCACTGTAGCTTTCCAGTAGCTAGTTGACCGGGTTGTCCACCCAGGTTGTGATCCTTGAAGGTCCTAGATATCATTTCTGGTGGACAACCTTTTACAACATTCCATGTCTGATTTCCGAAAAAATTGGGTTTTGCCCCCTGGGTATTACAGGCATGGCAAAATGTATGCCCCATGCATAAACACAGCCTACAACTAAAATGTCAAAAAGCACAAAAAGGCCTCAAAAAGGCAACAAAGTTTAAGTTCAAATATTATGCATACTTAACTTCGTACTATTCATCTGTGTGCATCTCACATATTTATCAATTATTACAATAAGCAGTATTTTATTTATTTAGACAGCATTTAATTGGGCATACTACCTTCTACTTTACTTGTATAAAGTGTACTTCTCCTGCATTACTTGCACATTAGTCTTGCAACATTCTCTTGCACTATTCTATTTTTACTAAGTTTCTTCTTGAATTATTTTGTAATAGTTTTTACAATTAGTTTTATTGTTTTATGTCTTATAGTTATGTTGCATTGTATAACTACACTGTAAATGTGCATATTAAAATAAAACCTTTAACTTTGAAAGTACTTAAACATACAAGGTGGTTGTATGACAACAGTAAGCTATCTAAGATGCGCGTTTCATTTGTTGTATGTTGCCTACTACACAACATCTCTGATTTATACACAAGAATACTAGACTGCACTAGAAAAACCGAAGCTCGGCTCAAGTATTTTTCCTATTTTTGACATTTTATCCAGGTTACTTTCAGGTGAGTCTTCTAACTTTAACTGGTCATGTGAAACTTCTATTAACGTAAGCTAACGCTAGCTCAGTGCTAGCACTGCGGTCACAACATGTTTGTAAACCGTTGCATTGGAGGGTGATGTTTTTATAATGGTAAAAAAAGTGGTTATTTATTCAAACAAGTTCATTATTTCCTGCTATTCATAGCCTGCTAAAGTTAGGTATTTATCAGTTCATGGTTCACTATATAAGGACCTGCCAGAGGTTGAAAGTTAAACTTACACTGATAGACTATGCTAAATTACGTACACAACTATGCTATCAACATTAAGTGCTAAGTGGTTAAGGGCACTTACCACAGAAAAAGGTCGTCTTCGCTGCGGTAACTCAGTAGTCCACTTGAAGATTTTCGTGAAAGCCTGTTCAAGTCAATACAGTTTCTGGGTTACTTAGTTAATCAAAACCACAACAGGTTATGCCAGCCGACCAACTGTCTGTGTCCTTACAGGTTAATAACTATTTAAAAACAAACATCAGTTTCGTCAATTTCTGGAACGTGTGGAAAATCAAACAATAATACCACTGCTATGGTTACCGTAAGAAACGCATATTGTCAAAGATGATTGCTGCTCCTGTCAGATGCAGGTCTATAACAGCTAGTGTGAGTACCTCTTGAATACAGATGCATTGTTTAAACATGTTGTAGGTTAGTTCTTCCCAATGTAACACGAAATGGGGTTCCATTGTAATACAAAAACAAATCATAGTTTTTTATTCTATATATTCTATTATTTTGCAATTTCACCAGATAGACCTTTACTTAAACAAACACCTGATTTGGACTATACATGTATTTTAAACCAGGCGCATATATTAATAACTGTTCATCAATATCGGTCCGGGTATACAACACAGTATTTATGCAGCAGCTATATATGTATAATTATCTGGTTTTGCTGTTATTTTGTACAAAGTTACTTAAGCACAGTGCATGATGACATAGATACTAAACAGACACATTTTGTACACTGTATAAAACAGTAAATGGCATGATGTGGTCTTGTGATTGTCTACCTTGTTAGTATAATGGACCACCTGTCAAGCAAGGTAAATCTATACAAAGTGACTACTGTGGGCTTATTTATATCAATCAATGCAACAAAATGATCAATGTTAATTAAAGCTGATACAAAGTTTTACAAATGGACAGAGATTAAACAGTTTGAGCTGCACATGCTTTTGCCTCAGATAAATATGCTACCAGTATTTTTTTGAATAGTTTAATAAAAACATGAATATTGCTGACAAGGTGGACATGTGTCCTCCAGGCCTAAATATTAATTGTGGCACTGCTGCAAATCTGTAATGTAAGATATTCACCACCTTTTCTGGCATGCAGTACAGGCTACACAGAGACACTGTCCATATAAGCTCTATCGTAGTTCTTTGGTTTTAGATATTATTTGTACAATGATTCAGCCTTTTCATACTCAATATCAAAGCTAATACAACGTTTTCATTTTTGCAGAGACCCTTATAATGTGCCTGATAACCCCCTTAGGACCTCAGAGAGAACATAGCAAACTTTTGGACAAGCATGCTTCACCAACATGCAGAGGTGGTAAGTACAGACCTCTTCACAGCAGATATTTTGACTTACTATATGTAGTTGTAAAAGCATGTGTTACTTACTAAAAACAACAATGGTGGCGATCTATTTAAGAATTCACAGTAAGCCAGGACACTGAAAGTAAGCCAGCATGCAAAAGTATTGTTATATATCCCTAACATCCACAGACAGTTGTATATTTAGTGGATTATCTTTGTGTTGGCCATTTTGTATAAGATCATAACGTTGTTTGTATTGTTTAAGCAAAGAGGCTCCCCTTTCTGCCAGTGGCTCAGCTTTAATCTGCTTTTGAAATGCTTAGACATTATATGATTAACACAGTTAAAATCAAAGTAGGATGTCATTTTAGTTAACCTCTAAAACATTTCAATAACACAGAACCATTTTATTGTCAATGGTTGGTGTTGGGTCAAGGTTTGTACTGGTGAGTCAGGTTTCAACAGAAGCATATACATGACGCAATTGGCGCAGTAACAACCTTCTAGCAGCTGCAAGAGAGACGTTTCTGGACAATATAATGTTCATATTTCATATTGGTTTGTATTCAACTACAGCACGTTACCGGCATGCAATGTCATTTCCAAATCCTCCGAAAGAGTTTATATAATATACTTTATTGCTTGTAAAACAGGAGTTAACTTTATACACAGACAGAAGACCACAGTGATGACAAGAATATTGACAGTAAATAAAGACAGGAATGAAAAGGCGCACATAAAAAAACCAATGGATTAAGCCAGGGCGGGCTCATTGTGTGAATGAAACACAGACAAAATCCACACAGTTTAGCAAAGCAACTGAACAATGAAAACCACACAAACTGTTTATCAGAATATTAAAATATTAAAATGTTGATGAGAGAACATTGTCCAATAATTTTGTTTATAAAAATAAACATGTCCCATGCTTTATACTTGTAATATACTCATTAAAATATATGTTTTGCTATTAGTCTCTATGTTACATTACTACTATAAATAAATTACCTTACAGACATGTTTTATCTTTTCCTTTTTACAAAATAGTGAAGAATTTGGATAAATCTTAATGTTAGTTAAGGTTTTAAAAGTCTTTCTTATTCCCTCCAAATATGTTAGCCTACTATTTACATTTACAGTGTAGAACGATACATTTCCATGAATATCATTTGCAAAACATTAACATATTGCCGCCACGGCATTCCTTTTTACCGGTTTCTCCACTTAAGAACTTGAACATTTTCTGTACAAACAGTTTTATCACCTTCAATGGCCAAAGTATCTGCCCCTGAAAGTCTTAATACGTGAAGGAAAACATGCAGTTCAGTGAAAGAGAAAAACACTGCATATGGTTATGGAAAATGCAACATTAACAGTGAAGGACAAACCGTTAAAAGAGGGTGCTTGTAAACACTAGTGTGTTCTGAAACCAAGAAAAGAAGTACAACAATGATGATATACTGACTTCTGGTAATTATTGAAGTTCAAAGTCTCAGTTTGAAATGAAAAGTAATATATGGGGGAGGGGGATTTTTGCTCAATTGTTGAATAAGCACATTGTCACACACAGACCTATTATATAATAATACAAAAATATTATTAACACCAACAAAAATATGTAAGTGCCTCACATTTACAGAAGAACTAAGCAAAAAGTATATATTTTTGCATTTAAACGACCCCCAAATCTCATTGATTTATAGAGTTTCTCAAATAATGAACATTTGAAAGTATGCATTGTGAGTAACATTTGTTTCCTACCACCAATTGACTAAGGCTGAATGTTTACATCTTAAACTATATTTTCTTTAAACCTTTGACATTTAGTTTGAGGTTCATTGGAGATCCAAGTTACATCCCAGAGGACTGACCAGTACATCTATGCAATAAACTAAATACATTTTCTTATTTTTGGTATTGTGGCAGGTCAGTTGTCACTATCAATTTGGTTTCTCAGCACTTTCTTTGAACAGTAAGTCCCGAATACAAGATAGGCCAGTACAACTATAAAGCCTCTCTGGTTCATTTCCAGGAAAAACAAGAGGATGAGACACAAAGAAGATTTCAGACAGGAAACAGATGTGTTAGTTTTATTAAAATACATAGAAAACTACTTTGTGTGTTTCTTATATATTTGCTAGATTGCACAATGTATAACAGCACATAGAAAGCAAATATGTTTATACTGTATCTGAAAACCTGAATAAAAACAAAGGATTTTTTAAAACTGGTAAGCTTTGAGGTGAGGTGAATTATGTAAAACTGACGGTGTGGACTCGTGAGATTTTCTGCAGCAGAGTGAATAAAAAACACTTAATCCAACATTAAAAGATACATTTTCACTCATAGCTAATTTCAGAGGTTGTGCAAAATTCTAGTGATAAGCTTACTCACTTGCAAGTAGATGGCTGTAGATTAATCTATGATTCAGGACAAGTGAAATGCAAGTGAGCTATGGATCAGTGATGGTGTAAAATACACTTTGCGTTATTAAATACAGTGTGGGTATTCCTTCTCTAAAGCAGAGTGAGGTAACAGCACTCATTTCTGTATGGTGGATAAGACTGTGACTTGGGTCTCTGCTACATTGTCTGCTCTGAGCAGGTGTGTTTGATACCTGCACTGTTATAGTGAGAGAATGGGCCTCTGCCAGTCAATGTAGTTTTAAATGTCATACTTGTCTTTCAGCTTTTTGCATTTTCCAACACTGTCACTTACATTTGGACTCTTGTATCACTACGCTAGACATTGTCAACATAGCCAACAGAGATCTCCATTTTGCATTACAACAGTTAGAGAATTTAACAAACAAACACATCACCATCTAACCAACCAACGCTTTGGACTATGAAATTTACAGAAGTCGCTACTTGACGAGATCTCTGAAGTATTTTCTGTCCAGAGGATACATATATTTTTTTGATGATTGAATATAATTTGTATAGTTCTCTTAATTCAATACATTGCAAATATATTCTTCACTTTCTTCTTCACAAAACTTTATATTATTTGCTAAGAAGACACAACTCAAATATACATTACATATAAAATATTATACTATAATGACATATCTTTTTTTGTGAATATTGATATGAGGTGATTAGCCCTGTATCACCCAGTCTGTTATAGGGTTCTTATTCCGTTGTGCATTAGTTTTTGTGTTTTTTTATATCTCAAAAAAAGATCCATGAGGCTACCTCAGGGCCTGTAAACATGGGATGGAACAGCTGCATTGCAATTTTTTACTGAGGATGAGTCATTGCATGTCTTGTAAAAAATGTAAACAATAAACAAATAGTGAATTTGGATAGAGTAGCCACCCACATTCTGGACTATTTTGATGACATCCCTGCCACGTGTATTCCTACTGGGCAGGTAGAGTTTTGATGGGTCGAGCGAGTGAGCTCATGTTATTGGTGTTGGAGGAAACTGGAGTGCTCACTGTCTTTGTTGGCAAGCTGCTTGAGTGTCCCATTGATTCTTCTGCTGCACGCAAAAGTAAAGTGTAGTTGATAGCTACTTCCTCAACTTTTCTTAACAGCTGTAGCCTTTGGGTTTCTGAACGAACTCCTCTGACCAATTTGATGAAGGTCTGAGTAAGTTCACATAACACTTGAAAGCTGGAGGTGACAACAGCAAGCATACGTGTTGGACTTTTTTCAACACTCGCCACTCGTCGACAAGATGCTCTGAACTCTTTGAAGCGCACGGCCAGCTCCTGTTTGTACTCAGCAATCTGTGAGGGCTGAAGACGAGCCTCTCCCTCAGCTTGTGGGCTGTTACCACACTGACGCAGAATAGCAAGCAATTCATTAGCATCCAACTGGGCATTAAGGAAACCATCAGGCAAGCTGAAACTCTCCCCCTGTAGAGCCTGTACCCGTGCCAGGCTCCCTTCCAGTGTAACACAGGCTCTCAGGTCAATCTCTTGGTTATGCAGCTCTTCCTCTTCTTCCTCCTCCTCCTCCACCTCTTCTTCTTCCGCACTGCAGTCCTCTGCATTAAGAACCTGGAGCGTTTTGCTTACTACAGGAAAGGTACGAGAGTCCAGCTCCATGCCGGGAAGGACCTGAAGGGGTATGGAGTATGAGAGCTCATCCTTCTCACTGCTTTCATCTGCTGCTTCACACTTTCTGTAGCAGAAACAAAATGAGCAGCATTTATCCTTGTCATCACTGTCTTCACTGGGCATGGTCAGCAGCACCTCGCTAGTCCCTTCTTTACTTTCACGCAGTAGCTCTTCGCCCTGAATGAAAAACACACCCTTTTTCCCCTTCCCCTCTGACTGGTGAGACTGAGTGTGGACTGGCTCTACTGGGGTAGGGAGCCTGAGTCCTGTGGCTCTCACTCTTTCCATCTCCTTCTCTAGACTCTTGGCTTTTGGCCTCACCTCAGCATACACAGGTGTGTTAGTGCTGTTATCCAGCTCTCCAATGCTATATCGCCTCTGGAGCTTCTTATATTGTGGAGCTCCTATGCAATCTGTTTGAGAAGTACAAGTGGGCAAGCAGGAACCCTGCTCTCCTCTTGGCTCTCTTGACTCAAGGCTGGTAGAGCGTATTCGTGTGGTCTTTATCTCTAAGGTCTGAGGTCTCCTTGGAGCACCTTGGGTATGAGGTACTTCGGAGACGGCCGGAGGGGTTTTCGAAATAGGTCTTTCTCTGCCTCTGTGTTGCGTCTCAGTTGTGGATCCAACTGGTGTATCAGGTAGTCGCATGCCCCTACACATTCGCTTACAGTCACAGCTGCGTCGCTGTTCCCTGGAGATTCCTGGTGCTTTTAGGACAGGGCTGGTGCGGAGCTGGCAGGCACAAGGAGTGCCTGAGGGCACAGGTGAGGATCCCTGGGGCAAAAATTCTCCCTGGGATGACTTGGGTTTCAGCAGCTCTTCTAAGAACTCTAGCTCATACTGGCGGACTTTCTGCAACTGAGCCCTTCGCTCATCTGTTTCTCGCCGCATTCTTGCTGGGAACGTAGCTGAAAGAAGGTTCTTGAAGCTCAAGAAAGGGGCACTGCGTTGGGACTTTCCCTTACCACTGCTATGCTTCTTTGACTCTCTGGCTGGGAGAGTAGAGACCTTATCCACAAATGGGCTAGGTGTTGTTAGATCATCTAAAATAGGTAAGGATTTGATGGGGCATTTCTGTGACTCAGGGTGGGATTTGCCCTGGGCACCCTCAGTCTTACTTTCAATCGCCTCTTTTTTCTCTGCCTTAACAGGCAAACGAGGGGAGTACTTGGTTTGAATTTGAGGACTTGGTTTTGCCAAACTAGCATCTGCTCCTACTCTCACTGAATTTTCTTTGCTGACAGCAAGCTGAAGGCCTTTGGCCCGAAGACGCTCATCATCTGTGGGGGAGGAGGATTGAAACACCACAATCTTCTGAACCTGTGGGTCTTTTAGTCTTAGTTGATGCCCAGGCTCTTGTTGCATTGGGCATGTGCAGAAAAGGTCGTCAACTGTCAAAAGTTCTGTAGAGCTTGAAGGCTTCATGGTCTCAATAGAGGCAGTCTTGGCATCTTGGCACATATTAGTGGGAGAAATCTTTGCAGAGGCAGTTCTGTCCACGGGTAGGAGGGTAGGTAAGGCTTTGTTGCTAGGGTCTGTACTAAGAGATGCTGTCGTCTTCACCCTTGTACCCTCAGAAAGCTTTTGGCTCAGTGTCTCCCCAGAAGAATTTGATAACTTCTGATCTTTACTGACTTGAGCTGTCAGGGAAGAACTTGAGACTTTAAGTTCTTCAGGCGACTTAGAAGGGCAATCAGGGGTGTTTGCTTTGGTGGACTCAGAGCGTGCTTTCTTTTCTGCTTTCTGTTCAGTCTGAGTCTCTTGGTTGCCTCCCTGCTCTGTCATTACACTGAGTACGGCAGAGTCCTTACTGGTACTGGCTTTAAAGGGAACTGTCTTGCTGAGGATTACTTGCTTGGGTGGACAGCCAGCACGGATCTGAGCCACAGAGAAGGCCCCAGTTCCTATGGTCTTTGCAGTGCAGCCAGGGATAGCCAGGGGAAAGTCACGGCGGCAGAGGATACGTTCTTTGTTGATATGGTGAGCGAGCAGGTAGGCCTGGTTGTGGTTCTGCTTCATAGCCGTCATCATCTCAGAAACATCTGTCAATTCAGATGAGTTGGTCTCATGTCCCGAGTCCAATGATGACTCAGGTGTGATGGCAGCTAAGACAATCAGCCCTGTAGAGGAAGGCATCACAGTATAAAGTTAGGATAATCAAAAAACAACAAATGACTAGTAATAACTCAAAAATAGTAATATGCTTTAATATTATTTCACTGTAGTCAATTAGTTATCAAACCAGAATTGTGCAGTTGAATGGATTCATCCTAATCACAAGAGACCAAAACTCATTTTGGAATAGTTTTAATCTGTTCTGGAAATTAATCCTTCAGGGTCAGATTTATTATGCCCTTCCAGACTGAACTATGCACCAGTGGGCTTGCCTCACCCAACCTAAAAGAACTGCAGCTCTTACATGCATATTTGTGTGGGTGCTTGAGTAATAAGACTAGCAATTTGCCAGAATGAATAATAATTTTTTGGATTTACAAAAGGGGTTAGTTTTTGCAAACATGGACTTGCAATGTCTTTAAGACGCACAACATTCTGTAACTCTCATCTATTGTTGTTGGTTTCTTATTAAATAATATTTTCATCATCATTTTAATATTATTTTTGGTCAAATGTAATATCCTGTAGGAAGTTCTCTTGAACCTTTTACCTCTTCTAGTTGTACTACTTGTATTGCATTGTAACCAGACTACAGTATGTTCCTGCCATTTCACAAGATAATAAAAGTACTGCAATATTTCTCCATAATATAATAAAAAAACAAGGCATGACTGAGGCTGTTGACCTGCAGTCTGTGTGGGCTGTTGAGGATGATGGGGGAAGTCCTCAGAGGCTGCCAAAGCCTCTAGGGCCTGTAAGGTGGACACTAGAGCATCATCAAGCTCCTGGGCATGATCTCGGACTGTTCTTGTGGCCACATTATCAATTAATGTCACAGGCACATCTTCCTTGGTTTGTGCGGGCTTTCCAGAGGCGACCCCTGGGCCGGCACTGGCTCGAGCCCTCCTCCCTCTCTTTTGGTCATCCTCATCTGAACTGTTGTCCCTGAAGCCAGGTGGTGGGGCAGCAATAGCAGGTGGTGGTTGTTGAAGTTTCTCTCCAACGCATTCAGCCTCATCCTCCTCTTCATTCCCTGGAGGTGGTAAGTGGATAAGGTCAACAGCACCTCCATCTCTGGAGGCACAAGCACTGGAGCAGTGTTTCCCCGAGCTCCCGCTGCTGTTCACTGCTGGTGACAGACCCTCGGCCTTATGCCTGGCTTTGCAGGAGTCACAGAAGTATCGTGAGGCTTTCTGGGATTGACTCATTGTTTGGGATCGTATTCTGAATCCTGCATTCTCCCCTACTGGGCTCTCTAAAACCTCTGATATTTCCTCTGGACTCTGCTGGGTTGGGTCTGACTTGGTGCGAGGCCGCCCAGGGGGCTCATGGGAAATAAAGTTTTCATTTATGTCCAGTTCAGCTTCGGCATGTATTTGGAGCTCTTGAAATTGTTGATGTTCTCGAAGGTGGACGTGACACAGGCCTAGATGCTGAGGCTCGGCCGGAAGTAGGGCCCTTGAAGACCCAGGCTCCCTGTGTGAGCTTTCCCTCTCATCCCCTCGCCGCCCTCCACTTGGCAGGCTGGTAGCCACAGAACGTGGGTGAGCATGGTGGGAGCTTCTGTAATCTGAGGATAGAATTGTCAGAGCAGTGGAAAGTTTGAGGTGTTAAAAAGTAGTGGGGATAGAGAAGATCCAGATGGGAAAGCAGATGCGACAGCTGGTGGTCACATGGTGATATCGCAGAGATGGATGTTGAAAGTTGACGTTTTTTGAGGTTGGAGGGTTTGATTCTGGTGGAATGTGATGGTATGATGATCCTTCCTTATGTGGACTACACGTTGAGACAGCAGATGGCAGAAGATATGTTTATGTTGACACTACTAAAAAAGAAATGGTATACTAGCACAATGGGATTATAGTTGCACTTTGTTGCACAACCCTGATTGTACGATGAGAAAGAAATATCCTTGAAAAATGTAAGAATGCAGTTAAAAAAACTAAATAACATAACATAAAATCTATAATGTGTTTATAACTTGGGAAACAATTATATGAAGTTTCCCATTCCAATGAATCAAGACTGAGATGAGATGAGAGACATCAGAGGGCACCATGGGATGGTAGTTCCAGGATAACCTGGTTACTAATGATCTCAGCCAGTGACAAAGCAGTTCAATGTCCATGTAGACTGAACATAAAATTAAGATACCAAATATTGCCATACAATACCAAATATTGCAATACATGCAGTATGAGGCTGACAGATAGTCACGTATACAACTCTAAATGGGTGATGATTGTTTCATTAAAAGCTTTTTATGTATTTTTTTGGTAAATTCTTTCACATGCGATGAATATTGCCCAATCAGAGCCTGTGATCAAAATGATCCCCTACTAGTCAAAAAAGCCTTCAGACATACCTGCTTTGGTCAGCTGAGACTGACCAGGAGTCCTGAAGTAGATGGTCCGTTTAGGGTCTACAAACAGCTTGAAGTAGCCAGAGATCAGGCATGCAAAGTTACTGGCTTCAGGCCATTCCATGAGTAGGACCAGGGGCTGCAGGGGGTGGTAGGGAGGGGAATTAGGAGACTATTTAGGGAACAGGCAATGAGCATTGCCTGTTCATTTTGTAATAACTTGATACAAATTGAATGTATTCAACTCTTTTTAGCAATCATTTTAGCATTTTAAGGTAAGTCAATTACACATTTTCAATGCTACAAAGTGTTGTGTCTTGTCATTGTCAGATGTAATGTAGTGTGAGTATTTAGAGACTGTGTTGTAATACCTTGGCCTCATGGATTGTCACCTCCACACGAGCCACTCCCTGGTTCTCTCGGTAGAGCTGGACCTTGGCAACCCTACTAAACTCAGTCAGAACTGTCGTTAGGTTGTTTTTCAGGTCAATAACATGACTAATGCCATGTCGAGGACCCACCAGTAGTGATGTTGCTGATTGTTTCTCATCCTGTAGAAGAATACAAGGGGTTTACTATTAATTGCCTTTATTTATTGCAGTATATTGGAAATATCACATAATGCTTTATACATGTAATGTTAGGACAATTCCTAAAATGTTACATAAGTGCATTTATTAAACAAGCTCTTTGTTGAACAACATGTACAGTTTCAAAGGCACAAGGATAATTAGTGATGCAGAGAATTTAGTAGAAGAGATAAATGTGTATTCCTGTGCACAAAGACATGTATTACCAGTCCAACAGTGTGGAACAGTATTCCACCAAAAGGCGGGAGGTCGTTGAGCACACGCATGTACTGCAGCTTTCCTTGGAGAGGAGGGACCTGTCAACAGAATGATAAACAAGAAATGCTCATCTTTGAAATAGAAATGATCCTCCAGCTCTTCCAAAGTCCTCCTGGGGGCACTGTTGAGCCACAGATGTGGATCAAAAGTCTTATGCAACAGTTTCCTCTATAAAGATGAGTGCCTTGCCCTAATAAACATTACTACTTATCAAGCATGCGATTAAATACATTAAAAATCGTTTTCATTAAAATCTTAATAGTATTTAAAGGGTACGAATTTGCAATGCTTGTAAAAAGGCATTATGACAAAAGGCAGTAAAGACTGCACAAAAACATTGCCTAAATATCTCAAGTATGGAACTTATGAACAAACCTTGTTGCCTGATGGTGGAGGATGCTGATAGGTCTTTAGCAACTGAGACAGGCTCTTGCACACATTTTTCTCTTTGACCGTTGGAAGCAAAGTAAGGGGCAGGAAAGGCTCTAGTCCCCACTCTTTCCTGTCATGAGCAAAGGGAAAGAGGGATGAGTATACTCACAAGAGAAAAACAACACCGGAGTAGTTAGTCATAGTCCGGGGAACATGTCGCAACTCAGGAGACAAAGGGTTTAACACAGTGAGCCAAGCTTACATCCTCTTTGGCTCCTTGCTTGACATAGCCACCTTAAATCTATTACAGACACAGTGGATCTGTTCTGCTTCAGTTGCTGTGATGGCAGAAACTAATTACTAGCCAGGTTGAGGTTTTGAAGAATAAATGAGCAAATAGATGGAGATTTGTAATTTCACAAAGCAATGGATTTGTTGCTCTCATAACGACCCGGGGAAAACGATCCTTGAGCTATTTGAGTTTTTTTTTATATCACTATTGGGATTAATTATTCATCATTGAGACATTATTGAATGAGCAAACTTCATTGTGGACAATATATGGTTCATATGATGTAAATGCTATATATCACCTTTTTGTCAGTAATTCCTCATAAATTCATTTGAAGCCTAATTGATTTTGTGGACTTACTCAACATGCTTGAGAGAGATCTTCTGATTGGGCCGCGCGGAGGACACAGTGATGTAGATATGGAGGGCAGCCAATCGTAACGTGATGTCAGATTTCCAGTCCATGCCGAAGCGCTCCTTGATGACGTCATTTCGACTCTGTTAGGGCAGGTTGAAATGCTGTTTTGTACACAGTTGATCGCAAAATGGAACAGTTATGTAATTCAAAGCATTATTTCTTAATGACTGGGAAAGCTCATGAGTTCAAAGATTGTAGGATTTTTAAGATGTTGTGAAAGCATTTCTTGTATAGCTTTACAAAAGGGCATTGTGTCTATTGCCCTACATTTTGTATCTGTAAAATCAGGCAGAGCCGTTGCGCTTCAAAAACACAGCTCTCACACAGTGTCATTGAATGACAACCTTTAAAACCCACACTTAATCCAGTGATTTACCTGTATATAGAGGTACTCAAACGCAGTGGGATCTCTTCTCAGGAGGTCTGCAGGGTCCTTGGGGAAGAAGCAGATGCGGAACAGACACTTCATCCCTTGGAAGTATGTTCTATGCACCACCTGAAGGAATAAGAATGAGTATAGGTGAACAGGGCAGCCTGCATTTATTAATATCAAAAGTATAACTACAAAAAACGGATGAGCTACAACAAACGACACAACATGAAAAGTGATTTGCATCCAGAATCACACTTTCAGCGGGCAAACTCATGACAATATGACCGCTTGTTAATCCGACCAATAGAGGGGCAGTAGAGCCACACCACACGCAGAATTGAGCCCTTACAACATTTTTATAAACATATATATTTTTGTATTTATAATAGCATCGGTTTGTGGTTACTGCTTTCAAAAGGTTCATTTGACAATCACAGATTTGATTTGATTCACACATATTTCACTCTAATTTCCCTGTTTTGTGTGTCTTACATGTGTCAGAGGCTGGTTGTCCTGCAGCAGATGCAACCTCTGATTCTGGTCAAGACCACCGGCCTCCAGCACCAAGGCAAAGTGCTCGATGTAGCGCAGAGAGAGGCGGTCCTGCAGGGAGGAGATCACATCCTGCAAGAAGAGACATGGAAAATGATTCAAAAACATTTCCACGGTAAGATTACATTCTATGACAACAACGTTGTTGTAAATATGGGGGTTAGTTTTGCCGTGAATTCACCAGTGTTTGTGTACAGTAGTGTGTCAAATTGAGATCTGTTTTGGCTCTTTCCTATTATATCAGATTTGTCATGTTATGCTATGGAGAGTTTCCAGAGTTATAATTTACTCTTCATCCTATTTAAGAAAATCATGTCTGCACAACGGGAGTGTTACGGGCAAACGTTTGCTCTTGTGCAGGCAGAGAACATTGTCTGAAGGGAATGTCACAGTTTATCACATTCTTATCCAGGCCTGACGTTTCATCATTTATTTGCCCTCTACATCCATTAGAGGGATGGATATAAAATAAGACTCTAATGTAGGGATATGTTTTGTAGTTTGGATTTGAGTCTCAGTGTGGATGCTCATTAAGAGCTGAAACATATGTAATTATATGGTTTGCTCCCAATCAATTGAATTGGCATTTTTTGATGTGAGCTGAACTACAGCTGTCTCAGAATATGCAGTTGTAACAGTATTGACCTGTGTGGTTTGCATTAAAAGACGCCTGGGGAGGTCACAGAATGCTATAGATTGTAGCCTAAAAATACTGCATGAAAGCTTCTTTAGTTGACAGTCAGTCTAATTAACTTTACTACTGGGCATCCTATTGTGCTTTTTTTCTTTATTGATCTTGGCCTTCTTATTATGCTGAAATTCCATTTAATTAGGCCCACACTTAGCTTCCTCCATCTCTACTTTAAAGTGCTGCTTTATTTCTCCTGTTTTTCCCGTCACTTTGCCCCCATGAGCACTGGAGAGATCTCTGAAATCTAATAGAGTCTGTATAATGAGTCTGTCACACTCATCTTAGAGGCTGACATAGAGACAGAAATGACCTCCGTCTGACTGAATTCATTACGGTGAAGTTTCTCAAAATGAAAGCTCTTTCTTTTCTTTTCTTGTCAGAACAATTCAAAATATAATTTTGATATTTGTCTTGAGCTATTTATCATTATCGTGTCCCAGACGTTGGTGATATGGAGAAATCACCTGGGCTTTGGTTTTTAATGATAATTACTCCACATGATGTTTTTAATTAATGATTATATTATTTCAAAAGCAATTCCATAATATATCATGGAAAAGAAACCAAAAATGTACACCAGTATGCTCATTTTTGTTTATTTATAATATGAGGCTTCATTTTAAACATACAGTAATTGTTTTTGCCATCTGGGCGCAGCAAGTTAGACTGTAACCTTAACATATTATCACCTTTTTATTTGATTGTCAGAAAAAACACTTGACTTCTAGCTCTGATTTGGTCCTGAGAAATGTAGCTGCTTCTAAATGCTCCACTGCGTTCACCAGCTTGTCTCTAACTTTGCCATTTGGTGCTGGGCAGTTGAAGTAGTATGTATTTCCCGTGTGTGCAAATCTGTAGTGAATACATACCCTAACAGTGGTTCGGCTATCAAATGTAAAGGACTTAATCTGTCCATTCTCCAAGAACACCTTCAACACATTTGGTATGAGTAGCAAGGAGTCGTCCTTGAGCATTGTCTGGAAAACATGGAGGAAGAAATCAGCTTTTGTAGTTAAAAAATAGATGGTACAAGTGAGGAAAAGGAATATTACTTACAATACAAACACAATATGCCTTTCGCTATTGAGGCAACAACAAGATAAAAAATAGATACTAAAAATAAATACTTCTTTTTTCTTGATTGTGAAGGAACAAAGAAGAGATGAGGGGACATACTTCAACTGATCTTTTGAAAGTGTGAGAAAGAGCAAAACGGTGCCTTAGGATGCCCACCCCCATGCATTGTATCAGGATCAAAGAAGAGCTTATTCAATTTCTCCAGTCTATCAATTCACTGTGCAAGCAATGCAGGGCAAATTGAATGCTGTGATTGAAAGCACACACAGAGTTTTGTGAGGGGAGGCATAAGAAGAGAGGCTCGATTCAAGGTTACTGCTTTTACTCAAATTGTTGGAAGAAAAGTTATGATATGCAGTTCAGTTCATTCTCGCTAAAATGGGATGTGACGGTCATTCTCTCCCAATTTTTTTATCTTGCTGAGGGCTTTTTAAGAACATTACTCAGTTCCTATTATGTAGTTTGAAAGGAACACAGTTGTGATCAGAGGGAAGGAAGGTATCCTAATGTAATAAGATCAGCCTAAGGGTTGTAATGTGACATAGAAAGGATAAAGCCCAGATGAAATCATCCATGATTTCAGGCCAAAATAAAATCACTCCCTATATTTTTTTGTTTTAGTTTTTTTTATGTGATGGTTGGATTTGTAAGAACAGAAGGGAAGACATTACTTATGAAAGTAAAGGGATGTGGATTCATTGCAACAATATATCTCAGAAAATGCACTGTGTTGAAATGGAGAGCTGTGTCCACAGCAGATGCCCGGCAGTCTGTTTTTGGAGAACTTAAGTATTCAGAAGGCTACACAAGCTGTTCTTTTGTGCAGATTGGAAGTGAACAGATCTTTCTCTATACTACAGAATTAAAGCGAGGGTGAACCAATGACGACACGGCACACACAGGTCTATCACTTTCTTTTACAGGCCTCTACCTATGTTCTTATTGTGAGGGTGAGCTGCAGCCAATTTGTAACATACAGGGAATGTGTTAAGAGAATCAAATCCCAGCTCAATGCCATGGCCTCATCTCTTCCCCTCTTTCCTTTTCCCAATAAACACCACGCTAGCTGTTTAACACTGATAAGTCTTCAAGTGATCAATAGCAGCCTCTAAATGTCTTGCCATGCGTTGAGCCGTGGTGGCTCAAACACCTGATCACTTTTGCCAATCCAAGCAGCTTCCTCCTATCGCTTCATCAACTGTTCCCTGTGGTCTGTTCTCAAGCTACAACCAATCAGATTTGACAATTATAAGAGGCAAACAGGCACCAGGCAGCTCTCCTACAGTGTTGCTATACCACGTAATACAGCTGTTGGCCTTTGCTGGTTTGTGGGAACACCTCATGCTTTAACTAAAGTCTTAATTTAGGTGTGATTAAGCAATCTCTGGGTTTCATGTGGTGTTGACTACTGGTGCTGCCAGGCTAGAGTGGATGGCAAACACAGCTGTAATGAATAGCAATCTAGAACTGTCTACCTATCTAAAGGTTATCAGGAACCTGCTGGTCCATGTGATAAGCAATCCGTTTTTTCCCCTTCCTCCATTAAGTTCAGGTAAATGGAAAATAAAATGATGAAATAACCTGCCTTTCAAGTTCTTATTCTTTATTGATTGTCGTTCTTTTCATCTTGTTGCTCCCATTTTATTTACATTATTACCTCCTCTCCCCCCATGCTTAACACAGTCATCATAGACTGTGTAATTATTGTTGTCTCACTTAGGACAAACACTCTATTACTTTGTCCCCCTACTGCCTGCATTTTTTTGTATTTGAGGCAAACATAACACAGTGATGAAAATATTGCCACTCTCAAATTATTTTATAAAGAGCTGCCCAATAAACGGTCATTAAAACAACCAAATAAAAGAACCAGGGAACAGCTCTGTGCTGAAGGGGTTGGCACTTCAGTATTTTCATACCGCTCAATATTTTTCTGCTTTTGGCATTTTTTTGATGTTATTAGAGGAACTGAAAAGAAATATGTGGTAAGAAAAAAGTAAAAAAGCTTCCCCTATGCCAACATGTAAATTACAGTAGCCTATTCTCTCGCCCTCCAGTAATCGATGTGTACAGTGTCTTGCTTCATACATATTTATTCCTTTATGTCTTCATCACACATTAGGATAAAGTGAAACCCAAGTAACAAAATAGATGTATTCAGCTTTTTCATACGTCATTTAAAGTGGACCTATCATGCTATATTTGAATAATATAGTGTAGGACCATACCTATATAAGGCATAGTTATACTTTTTATTTTTCAAAATACCAAACAGATCATGCATTTTAGCCATGCCTCATTTCGCTCAATTTGAAAATGTTTAGCTCTGTTTTTGCAAGGGTTGATTCTGTGAGAACAGCACCACCTACAGGCCTGGCATATGTACTACAGCATCTCCAGCGCTTTCGAACGGCAATGGCCGTGGCTGTCTCCTCCTGATTGGTGGAGTTGGCCCAATAGCCGTAGCGCCACTGTACTGACGTCAGGACAGTGTTCAAATCTGGATCAGTTTTTATCAGATCTGTTGCAGCCCCTTTTTTAGAGATTTGGGTATGGAGGAAATTAGAGAGGGTTGTGTTTTCTGACACTTGGTGAGTTCCCTGGAACACCGGGGACACATATTCATGTATAAAAGACGTACAAAAGTGCATTTTGCATGATAGGTCCCCTTTAAGTAAATTGGGATCCTTATAGCTCTGCCCTGTGCGTTTAGGTAAGAGTGGACACCAACTGTAAAACATTTCAAATGCCTTTTAAGGGCACAAGGTCCTCCTGTGAGAATTCAAATCAGTCAGCGGAGCAATTTATTCGAGACCAAACCACTGGACCAAAGGCTCACACAGACACACACAGGAGAGGATGGAGAGAGGATACTGGAGGCTTTTGCTGATCAAACAAAATACATGCACAGTGGGAGATAGAGGGACAGGGCAACAGCATGAGATTGCATGCACATGTCACAGGGAGACACGATTAGCTGAACTTACTGAGTCTGGGTCGCTGATGGACACTTGCTCTGAAAAGCGCACTTTAGGCGGGTTGGTTCGCAGGCGGGCCTTTTTGGCTGCACTTATGAAGGCAGACTTAGGTGACTGAGGATAAACAGAGAGAGAGGAACTATTGAAACAGCTTGAAAGAAGAGACGTAAATCAGAGAAAAGCCCCTGTGACTGACAGCGCTAAAGAGACGTGTGTCGGCTAATGCTGCTGCAATGCGACAACCTACTACATGAAACTCAACCTCCAAAAGTTTGAGTAGTTTTTCATTGCAGTGCTTGTTGGTCTGAGCACAATTAAGATGTAATAGACAACAGATAGGAAAATCCCTGCAGAACGGCTGCAAAACTCATGAATACAAAATAAATAGAGGTAACTAAATACAAAATTGTATTTGACTTTATTTGGATATTAATATTGTTTTATCATCTTCTAAAAATATCCAGTTCAGTTAGTAAATAAATACTCTATTTCTGTTTCCTTAACATGGATGCCTGCACATACACCTTTTATGAAATAAGATCTTGTGTAGGTGTTATGGAGCTATTCGGAAAGGGTTTCCTAGAAAAGAAGTTACTGTAATGTGTAGGCCTGGCCATGCATATTAATGTGCTTCTTAGGGTTTCTTACAGTTGGAACATAACACTGATAGTGTTTGTGTGATTCAGAGCGACAGGGAAAGTATTAAGACTGATGAAGAGTACGAGAAATCTCAAGGGAGAGGAACATGAAAGAGAGTGAGTGTCCCATTATACTACCTGATGGGGCTGCAGCACAGCGAGAAGTATAGTGTCTTTGCAGCGTCTGTGGAAAGACAAAAGAGAGTGGAGTGTGTTAGATAACACCACGGAGAGCATTGTTTTGGAGAGCTCCTCCAGGTTTATATCTGCCCTTTCTTCGCTGCCCTTCAGCTGGAGAAGGACTGTCTGATCCACATATTTGTGTTGATGTAACACATCACCAGCAATAGGAAACAGCTTGTTCCTTTTGATTCACCCCCTTAACCCATATCCTCTTCACTATTACTTTCACTTTCCCGTGTTGCTGCTCCCCTCCCCCTCCCGCCCTCCTGGGACAGTAAAGGATGTTACCTTACAAGGTCTATGACTCTCTCTCGGGGCGCGTCGCTCACCGTCTCTTCGTTAATGGCCAAGATCTGGTCTCCTGGGAGAAGCTTGCCAAAGGAGGGCCCGTCTGCATATGAAAAGGGACAGCATGCAAAGTCACATACATGCAGATAAAAGGAAATTTGAGTTAATTGGAGTCTTCATGTGATCCCTTTCTCTCACACACACACACACACACACACACACACACACACACACACACACACACACACACACACACACACACACACACACACACACACACACACACACACACACACACACACACACACACACACACACACACACACACACACACACACACACACACACACACTAACCAGAGAGACGGAGCGTACAATGACAGGCCTCTGGCTGCCTGCAACGAAGCCGAAGCCTTGGGTCGGGTGGCGCTGTATGGTGACCTGTCGAGCTGAGGCAGGACTCAGGGTACCACTGTCCGTACCATGTTGGCTCTCCTCTAACATTGCAGAGCTGCAGAGTATACAAAACATAGATTTTGAAGTAAAAGAATAAAACATATTCTTGGAAATCCCAAAGGAATTTGCTGTGACAAGTGTCAGGGTCATGTGTAGCACACATACCTGTCACATGCGTTCGTGTGTCCATCCTGGACCTTGGCCATCCCCTGAGAGGAGGGATCAGCATGGGACAGGGTCGCACTGCAATGGTCTCTTTCTGCTTTGCAATCATTCACCTGGACAAAAGAAAGGAGAAGACAAGGGATGCAAGGACATAAATAAGTGACCCTGATTTCTCCACATGCGAAAATTCATTTTCAAAGTTACAATCGCAGAAGCACACCGTCGCACAAAACAAACATAAAGATCTTTTAAGATTATAACCCTCCAATGTCAACACGTCGGCTCCTCACAAGATCCTGCAATTCCGTGAAGAATCTCACAGAGCACAAGTACAAATGTAGTTATTTGTATTGCTAAAAGCATCTGACATTAGAGGCCTGCCTTTAGAAGAGGTACAATTATCAAGGACCTATGACATAATGCACATAGAGCATGTCTAACAGAGAAGTTTTTGAGTCTGCCAGCCTCCCTAAGTGTGGACCAAGCTACTGCTGTGAACCACACATGCTCTTTTACAGATGCCTGTGTGGGAGGCAGTGAAAGCAAGACTACTGAAAGACTGTGAGTGAGTGTGTATGTGACACGTGGGTTTCTGTGTTTGTGGCAGAAAAATCACTGGAAAAAATATTGAAAATAATTGTGTGAGAGCCAGATATTTATGCTCATAACTGTGATCTAGGACTCTGATGATTACCGACTAAAGATGAGACACCGATTGTGATGTTATTGGTGCAGATGGGCTAAAACAGAAAGACACATATAGCGGTGCTGTTGATTGTTATGCAGGAGTACACTGTTGAGAGCAAACACCACGCTAAGTGGCATGGGCAGAGAACAAACTGCCAGGAACAGGAGGCTGAGGCACATTAGTCAATAGCTTAGATTCATATTCTTGTCACTTGTTTCTGATAAGAGTGGCTTATGGGGAAGCATGGCTCATTTACAATTCCAGTGAGGCATTACTGATCTCTACCTTGTATCATGGTATCAGATGAGGGTTGATGCGTCCCAGATAGGCTTCATATTGAGCTCAGTCCATGACTAAAAAGCCATTACTTTACGTGTGCTTTGAATTACAATTGTGATAATCATTTCAAAAGATTAGAATTGAGTAAAAATGTCTCTATTAAATATTCAGCTGACTTACTAAGGATCAAAGGTACACAGTGTTGACAAATGACGCTGCACCAGTTGGTTTTGCCTATGAAAAAGATAAGATGTTTTTGATTGAGAATGATTATTTTCTCCTTTGACTCTTCCAATGGATTCTGACAGAGCATTTGTCTCCCCATATATTCTCCTCCGTTCTGTCCTTCTAATGTCTTCCTCTTTCCTCCCATCTGTCTGCCTCTCCATATTCTGGAAGGACATTCTGTTGGATTTACAAGGAGGTGCCAGTGACTAGCCGTTTATCAGGTGTCTGTTATTATGAATGTGACTAACTCCTCAGCATCTCTTCCCAAATTCAAAGGAGACAATACATGACCTTGTTATGAATATCCTCTACCCCCACCTTGTCTATTAATTACAAAGCCATCATTGTATTTCCATAGTTCCCTAGTCTTTCTTGTACGTGTCAAAGCTAAATGGGAAAACTGAAATATAGCCACCAAAATCGTCTTTATTCAAGCCTACGTAACAGTTATTGAATCAGAGGAATATGTCCTCCTCGGTCTGTTTCTGTCCACATCCTCTGAGGATGCCACACAGGATTTACAGCTTTGAATTCTTCACTTAATTTACAGACAAGTTTTGGCATTCAGAATAAGAGATGAGGAGGAAGTGAACACGGGAGATAAACGAAGATAGCCGTGGGGTGCTGGTGGGGTTTTCATGTCTGCAAAGATAAACAGCCATTCCACAGAGGGGCAGACCTTTAGTCGGGAGAGGACACTGAGGAATTCTGTCAAGAAATGAACCCCAAGGGCATCGGCAGGCCTGCACGTTGCTATGGCTACAGCGCTCGGTAGCTTGTTGAAGCTCGGGTGCATGGAGGGATAGTGGGTGGATTAGAATAGTGATGTGGCTGCTATGAGAGAGAGAGAGAGAGAGAGAGAGAGAGAGAGAGAGAGAGAGAGAGAGAGAGAGAGAGAGAGAGAGAGAGAGAGAGAGAGAGAGGGAGAGGGCTAGCCAGACGCTATTCCATCACCCTGCAAGATGCCAATATTTCGTCGGGCGCAAGAGGTCAGGGTGTCACATACCTGCTCCGCTCCAGAGTCCCGGTCTGTAGCGGCTCACCAGGCAACAGGGTCAGGGAAGAATGACCTTTTACGTATAAACCTCCCAGGCCTGCATTCTAACATGGCTATCATTATAATGGAGGGACAATGCATTTCATACAGCAGCATTCCTAAATAATTTCGTTCCAGGGATCAGCTGACGATGTCGATGTTGATCCATCATTAACCAGTCAGTCTGTTTTACCCACTCTTAATAAATATAAGGTTTAGGGGTGCATACCGGTTACCGAAATACCGGTTACTGGCGGCTACGGTATACCGTACCGAAATCAGATCCGGTTTTCGATACTTTTATTTATTTATTCTTTTATTTTTTTAATTTGAAATTTTTTATAAAAGTGAGGCGTAATATCCTTAAACTCGCGCTCAAACCCTCGGAATTACGATGTCAATTTCGCCGTGAAACTCCGCAAACGAGTCACTTTAGAAAATCTAAAGTGTGGCTGCATATGACTGCCAGTCTGAATGGTGGGGTCTGTAACCACTGCCAGTCTGAATGGTGGGGTCTGTAACCACTGCCAGTCTGAATGGTGGGGTCTGTAACCACTGCAAGAAGTTTATTTCTGGGAAAGGTGGCAACACATCCAACCTCCAACCAATGCTGTCTCGTATGGCAACCAAGTACCTTTGTGTTCAGGGAAGCAGCGTGCCAAGCGAGAGAGTGTTCAGTTCAGCAGGTGATATCCTACGCTGTGAAAGGGCCCGTTTGGATCCAGAGAGCAGATATGCTCATCTTCTTGAAGATGAATGCACAAAACTGAACTGTGATGGGATTAGTTTTCTTTCATCAGGCAAATGTTGATTTTAATGATGGTATTATTTTTATGTGCAATGCCGAGATCTCATGATCCTTTATGTGTTCTCTGGTCAGTCGAATCTCAGGTTGAATATTGATTATACTGGTCTTTTTCCATTGACAAGATGTGCTATTCACGCCTGATGGTTGTTATAAATGATATTGCAGAATCAGTTTTCTTCATAGATAACGTGTTTTTCATTGTTTGTTCAGTACTAAAAGGTCCAAGTCCCACAATTGAATTTAATATTCATTTGACATCATATGATCTACATCATAAAGCGCTTCATGGGAGTAATTGCGGGATGATTCAATTTTTCCCTTATGCAACATGAAAGTATCACGATATGTATCGGTTGAGTATCGGTATCATTCAGTGGTATCGGTATCGGTATCGGTATCGGTATCGGTATCGTAAAAAAGTCAACGATATGCAACCCTAATAAGGTTTATCACATTAACCTTGTTGGTTCAACTCTTTGGTCATGCTTGAGGCAGTAGTTTGGATTCAAACAGTGTTTCTTAGAATCTAAAACCATTGAGAAACTGAGTGGCTGAAGTATCTGTGCTACAGATAGGAAAATAATAATATTTTTTTTTAATAAATGACATAACTGCAGATTTTTTTTTCGAAAAGTATATTGGTTTGATGCATCTGAGACTTTTTTTGGTTATTCATGCACAATTAAATACATTTGATTTTATAATGTTTTATAAACCAATAGGAATATCTTCCAATTTTTTAGGCTCCAAATGAAAACAATAACTAATTGCCAAATGTTCTCTGTACATGCAATTACAGTAATCTTGTTTCTTTGGCATGAATTGCCGGTAAAATACAGAAACACCTCAACACCATTAAAGTTGTGCTTGGCTTGTGATGGGCTCTACAGGAAATTTGCCGTGAAAGACTGCAAATTAATCTATTCTGAGAGCAAAAATGAACGACATCTTTGCCATTGCATTTCTGTTCCGGAAAATGAGACATACCACTTAGAAACCCTGAGGAGAGGGTACAGAAGTTGCCTCTCCTGTAGCCATCTCACATTTTACTACACTCTACGTCCCTGCTGCAAGCATTATGCATGTGTCTCAGACTATATCACCCAAATAAAATATCATCTATTCAAAATTGTAAAAGTATTTTAATAACTTAATCTTGCTGAGAACTTAGACGTTATTGCTTAGGGGTGGAGTAGGTTTACATTGTTAGTCCTAATTTATGTCTCACTTTTCTAAGCAAGTACAAAAACATGCTTTGTAAAACATTTATACATTTTATTAAATGCATTTACAGGAAATATTGTGCGAAATATAAGGAATGGTATAATGTTTGTACTGCAACTAGCTATATCGGAGATTATCGAGAGCTTGACCAACATTGATTTATGCATTTAGGGTAAATTAATGCAACATTTGTCCTCATGCTACATAACTCATACTTAATTAGTTTAGCTTATTCCCACATGCAAATGTTGCGGCTTAGCCTTTTGGATGATGCATCTTGAATGTAGATTCTTAATCATGGCTTAATAGGAATTAAAGACTCCATTCCACTGACAATTAGCATGGCACTTCCACACGGCACTGTGAATTATCTGGCCTATTACCCTGTTGATGCTTGAGGAATTTTCACTTATTTTACTGTTGCACTAATTGTTAATCTTTCCGATTAACTGTGTCTGGTAAATGCCTGAATTATATATTTTAATTTGAATCAGAGATGGAATCAACAGCAGAAACTTGGGAGTTGTGATGCACTAATTGGAAATTGACTACGGTATTTTATTGGATCATCGCCTTGAGAAGCCAGACAAAAGGTGAGAGCTATCGCTGATTATTTATGATGGAAAACAGACAGAGCTTAGATCCTCGAGCTGGCTAAATAATTCATGAACATTAGAATGCATTTTGTCAATACAATTTAATATTGGTGTTCCCTTGAGGAGTTAGTGCCACCATAGTTGTATATAGCTCAGTTTGTTGTGTAGAAAACTGATCTGAGCAGACCTTCAGTCTTGATTGCTGCTTTGTAAGCTGAAGCTATGTATGGCAGCGGTGATGGCAGTAATCCTTT